GCCCCCCCCCAATAAGAGTGCAGGAAATGATATAAGCTTTTGGGGCCAGAAAGAAAATACAGTGCATACAGGCAGGGAGCGCCCATTCAACACAACGGGGGTGCCATCTATCGCTTAACGACACAGGCGTCAAAGAAATAGGAAACATTTTCCAGCCGTAAAGATGAATTCCTACTTGATCCGGTCGTTGGGCGAATCGTTCCACTCAAAAACCGCCACTGTGTGAATGATTTGAACAGATTCTGCTTGGTATCTGGAGCTGTGGAGCCTCTGGATGCTGGTGCAGCATGGCAAACCCTTCGCTGTCAGGGTTCGACTGACAGAACCGAATGCTGGGAGGTCCTGGGCTGTTGGGTCGGTCTGAGCTTGGATCAAGGCAGTTACAGAAACAGGCAATAGTGATTTTTGCTTGTGTGCTGCAGGACTCCAAGTCCTGAAAGGTAGCCTTTTCCATTTCCTTTTTTTTTTTTTTTAAACCATCATTTCAGACTTTTTTTTAAATATATTTTTTAGTTCTTTTTCTTTTTTTTTTAAGTCTGTACCTCTTGAAATGTGCCTCCCTCTTCCTTGTAGCTGCAGAGGAAGAGAGAACGAGGCAGAGGGCCTTAAAGCCATCTGGGTGTGTGGAAATGTACAGTTTTAGCGGGGCTCTGCTTTGAGCAGAACACGAGACGCACAAAAAAAAAATTAAAAATAAAACAGATAAATACAGCATCCACAAAACGGAGCCTAGGCTGCCGCGTCCACCCCTTCAGGATGGCGGCGGTGGAGGCTGGCGACCCCGGAACACGTTTCAGCTAGAAGTGCAGAGCTTTAACATTTCATAGTTCTTTTTAGATTTTTAAGCATTTTTTAAGATTTTTATGTCAAACTTCTTAAAAATGACGTTAAAATGTGATTTTTTTTTCTATTTTTGGTTTTTAAAAAAATATGTACCCGGGATTACCCATCATCGACTGTGCACTGTAGCAAACTGGAACCCCCAAACTGAGTGGAGATCTTTCTCCTTAGCGTGGGGCCTTCCCCGACAAATAAACAATAAATCAGATAAAGAAAAGCCTCAGTGGATGAAAGGAAAGGGAACGCGGCCGCTCCGTTGTTGCCCCCGCCTTCTGCACCCTCTGCAAAGGTCATCAGAGCCCCTCCAATACAGGTAAAGTATGACACGGCTAATTCACGTTGGCACGACACATTGGCAACTTTAATGTGCGCTAATGAAGCGAGGCTGCAGCTTTTTGAAGTTTTACTCTGGCAGCAGAGAGGACCCATAAGGAGAGCAGCGACTCATGCTAGCAAAACATCAACTCCCTACCCTGAGATTTAGCTGGACGGACGTCTTCAGCGTGGAGAGAAACGGCCGACCTTTGATCAGTGGAGGCGGCGGCCCGTTAGGCGGGTAAAGTCGGGTTTGACGTGCTGTGAGGAGCCCACCCCTCCTCTCTGCCTCTTTTTTCTTGCATAGAAATGTACGGGAGGGTGGGTGGGTGTCCATTCAGGGGGCTACTGGGTCTGGTTGAGGAGGAGGTTACAGGGTAGCAGCCAGGCAGAGGGTGACGCCTGCAGGAGCAGCTCGGAGCGGCGCGCCCAAAACGACTTTAACCTCCCCCCCACACACCTGGACGTACTAACGAATACTGTCAGAAAAAAGCACGAGCAGTTCGAACACAATCATTAACGGTCTGTAGTATTGATCCTCGGTTTGCAATTCAATACACAGGATGAACATACAGAGGCACCTCTGACCAAAGTGTTTCTGCATATGAACAGTGAAGGGCTGTAGATCAGCAGCCAGTTAGCTCCTGGACCAACTGCATGTAGACCAATCAGAAACACACACATTAAAAAAAAACTTCAAATACAAAGTACACTGGCAGAAATTCCAGAAATATGACTCTTACATCTTCCAGCTAAAGTGATCTTTGTGTAAAGGACTGAGAGACGGCGGAGGAGGCGCCCTTCCTCCTCCTCGCTCGGAGATGTGTGGCAGGGAGAGCCGTGATTGGCTGGTCGTTAAGAAGCCAGAGAAGGAGGTTCTGCACAGCGAAGAGGCACTCAGTGGACGCATGTCCCCCCCCCAACCCCCCAAATCCACTCCTCTTCTTCTTCTCTTGCCTCTCCACCATAACAAGGCTTAATGATTTCAGAGTAACAGTGATCTTCGCTTTAAAACAGTTCAAAGAAGCAGTTTTTTTTTTTTTTTTTTTATCTCTCCCCTGGTCCTGCTCCAGGAGGAAGGAGCGTTTCCATGGAGATACAGTACGTAGAGGAGCAGGAGGAGTCTCTGCTCGCTTTTATTGGATTGAATCGATTTGCTCTTTATAAGTGCTATGCTCAAACCAGTTTATAGAAGTCTCTTCTGTTTGTACCAAATGCAAGGAACACTCGTAGGTTTACTGCATTAGGGGCAACCCCCCCCCCCTCTAATTTGGTATTGTGCCAAAGTAACCAGAAGCGCTAAAATCCCGCTGCGGCGGCTTCAGTCTCTGAGGGGCGTGGCAGCAGAGAGGAAGCGTGCATTGTTCTCGCCAGTGTTACTTTTTATCAGCGTGGTTTGCAGCAACGCTCCGTCCACCAGCTCCTCCGCCTTCCTCTTTGCTTTAGAGTTTGTTCCCCCCCCCACCACCAAACAGCTTTGCAGAGATTTTAGGCCTGGAAAATAATCAAGTTTTTTTTTTTTTCTTGTTTTCAAGAAAAAAGGAGGTGGGAGTTTTTTTTTTTTTGAAGTTCCAAAGTCTTTCGCTGAAAACAGCAACAATCTTTAAAAAAAATAAAAATAAAAACGGCTCCCGATGGAGTTTGGACGGAAGAAAGGTCGATGGTGTATATTGCACAATGAAAACTGTCCCATCAAAGTAAAAACTGAGGAGTTTCTTTCGCCGTTTGCCGGCGGATTGACGAACAAACGGCGAGCAAGATTCGACAGAAAGCACCAGTAAGCGACTGGGGTCCAGGCTTCAGGCGATGATTAGATCCGAGCGGACATCTGGCGCGCGGCGAGGGGCGCGTCTTTAATCTTCACGCAGCTTATATCTCATGATATATGACAACCATAATAAAAAAAAAGGACAATAATTGCAAGGTTTTACACGTCAAAAGTCTACAGCTGTGCAAACCCAACGTTTGAGACGAGTTCAAGGGTCTGAGCAGATGATTGGTAGCGCCAGCCGGGCGGTCCGGAGCTCTGCGCCGCCTCCGGGAACACTCGTTGGCTCAGAGGTGAACTGTGCAAGATTACAGCGAATTCTTCACTTAGAAAAAAGAAAGAAATACTAAATCAGGTGGCTTGGAAAAGTCCTGGGCCAGAGAGCACTTAAGGCTAATATTAGTGCTGAGGAACAAAGCAAAGAAGAAGAAAAGGTCTTTGAACGTCGTCATTGGCCTCGGATACGCTGGGAATGGTTGGTTTCAGTGTTCTTCTGGGAGGATTTCCATTTGTTCATTAAAAAAGGAAAAAAGCGTCTGAAATGGCAGCTTTGATTGCTTCTTCTAACAACAGTATTAGGGCCAGGCTGAAGTTTTTTTTCTATTTCGAGAATAAAGTCGTAACATTACGAGAATAAAGTCGTAATATTACAAGAATAAAGTTGCAGCAAGAATAAAATCGGAACATAACGAGAATAAAGTCGTAACATTATAGGAATAAAGCCGCAACACTACGAGAATAGTCGTAACATTACGAGAATAAAGTCGTAACATTACAAGAAAAAGGTCGTAACATTACGAGAATAAAATCATAACATTACGAGAATAAAATCGTAACATTACGAGAATAAAGTCGTAACATTACGAGAATAAAGATAAAGTCATAACATTACGAGAATAAAGTCATAACATTACAAGAATAAAGTCATAACATTACAATAAAAAGGTCGTAACATTACGAGAATAAAATCGTAACATTACGAGAATAAAATTGTAACATTACGAGAATAAAGTCATAACATTACAAGAATAAAATCGTAACATTACGAGAATAAAGTCGTAACATTATGAGAATAAAGTCGTAACATTACGAGAATAAAATCGTAACATTACGAGAATAAAATCGTAACATTACGAGAATAGTTGTAACATTACGAGAATAAAGTCGTAATATTATAAGAATAAAGTTTCAGCAAGAATAAAATCGGAACATTACGAGAATTAAGTCGTAACATTACGAGAATAAAGTCGTAACATTACGAGAATAAAGTCGTAACATTACGAGAATAAAATCATAACATTAAGAGGATAGTCGTAACATTACGAGAATAAAATCGTAACATTACGAGAATAAAATCGTAACATTACGAGAATAAAATCGTAACATTACGAGAATAATGTTGTAATATTACGAGAATAAAGTTGCAGCGAGAATAGTCGTAAAATTACGAGAATAAAGTTGTATTTTATGACAACTTTAAGAAGAAGCTTTTTCTTCCCTAAAATGAGGAATGTGGAGCATCGTGCGAAGTTCTACTTTAGCATCGGTTTGACGAATCAGGAAATCTTTTAGCAGCAGCATCAAACTGGGCAGGATGTCAAAGTGGTTGCGTTATGATGACTTCATTCTCGTAGTATTATGACTTTAATAATAAAAAAATAAACCTCTAGCCCGGCCCTAATACTCCGTCGTTTTTACACTTCTGGAAAAACTTGGTAATGAGAAAATAAAAAAAACACCCTTTGCTAGAGATTATTTTCAGATTTTTCTTTCTTAGGATGCTGTAACTGATCTCCTCTCCAGTTGACTTCTGGAGAAACACAAAAATGAGAGAAACAGGAAGTGGAGGCAGCGAGGGTTGGTGTTGGTCTTTTCCAGGGACCCTCAGCTTTCTGATTTAGGATTCACAGTTTGAAACAGTTTCTCTAAACGCTGATTATCGCCACATGATTCGCTTGGGTTTCGCTCTTGCTCCTTTTAACCTTTTTTTTTTTTTCTGTTTACAACTCTTTCTTTGCTTCCGATCCCCCGGGAGCAGGTGGAGGTGCGGGGGAGCACGGCATCACCCCCCCCCCCCCCCCCCCCCCTCCTACATGGACTCCCCGCTCAGCAGGTCTCCAGGCAGCAGGGTGTTGATAGGGGTGGGGCTCCCGATCACGCGGGCGTCCTCTCCGTTGGGCGGCCCCCACAGACTGGAGTATTGGGGCACTCCCCCCCACAGCAGATCGCTCCCGCTGGCCTTCCCTCCGCTGCCGCCGCTGCTCCACTGGCCGATGGCGTGTGACTGGGCCGCCCCGCCCATCCGATCCTGATTGCTTCCCGGGTTGGCGTGCCAGCTGGTGGTGTTGGCTCCCAGTGACTGGCCTTGTGCAAAGAAGCGGTTGATGTCCTCCTCCCCGGCGAACTCGGCCAGGATGGTGGTGTTTCCAAGGACGCACCTTAGAGAAAAAAAAACTTTGTTACTCAGAGAAAAACAAAAAAAACTAAAGACTTTCTAATGATCCGTTAAAAACACATGAAAACAGAAATACAGACTGAGCAATATGAGGGACTTTTCTGTAAATGGGAGCAGTTACAAAATTCCCTTGTATGAAAGTGCAGCTGATTGCAGCGTGACAGTTCCCCCCCCAACACACACACACACTTCATGTGACTCCATCTGGTCATAATGAAAATGCTTAAGTTCTACAAATGTGGGAAAAAACCAGGACGACAGAAGGAACCTGAGGTTTCCCTGAAGTCTTCCTTATTTTGGTTCTCTGGTAGAAACGCTTTACTCAACACAGACATGCAGCAGGAACAAAGGTGGCTGGATTTCCCCATTTTACAGTTTTGTTAAACGTGAAAACCTTCTGAAACTTTCACATTGTAATAAACCTTCAGACTGCAAGTAGCAGAGGCAGCAGAAGCAGCTAGTTTACAGGTAAAGTCAACGGTTGATGTGCATCAAGGTGCAGCAAAAGGCCCTGCAGTGCGTTTTGAGCAGCTGAAGCAGCGCGTCACGAGCTTCTGAGGCGCTTCAGAAGCAGCAGCTGCTGGAGTTGGAAAAATTTAACTTTAGCTGCTTGATGCTCCACATCAACCAATCAGAGAAGCTGATCTGGGAGCTGGCAGGGAGTCAGACACAGCACTGCTGATGCAATCTGGAGGAACCGACTGCACAGATAAGGTTTTCAGCTGTAGTTCTGTTCCAATTTACAAGAACACCGAGAACGGACAAAATCTCTGCATGTTGTTCTGGCCCCTCCCTATTTACCCAGCATGCATCAGAGCAGACTTGTCTGTTCTCCAGACTGACAGCTGTCCCAGCATGCACTGTAGCAGCTGCAGCTTCCAGGTTAGCACTCAGAGCTCAGAGCATTAAGTTAAAAGTTCTCTTTTCTGTTGCTGTGGTTCAATAAAAGTACATTTTTAAATCATTTGAAGCGAGAATATTATACTTTTAAGCGTCACTAGATGGCCCATTTACTGATTTAGTGCCTAATTAAAAAGTGGTCGTATGTTGAGAGGAGGGCGGCAACCAGATAACCTTTGAGGCTAACCACAGCCAGGGCTAACATTAGCCCTCTCTCTGCATAGCCGTGTGTGAAGCACCGTTGGCTATGATGGAGGTGTTTTGGGTTTTATTTGGCAAAATGTTGATTTGATTTGTGTTTATCTGACTGTGTTCATTATTATTCCTCCACTAAATGAAAAAAAAAGTCAGAATTTATTATTATCCAGAGACTATTAATAACAGGAGGTGAAATGCAGCTCCAGATGAGCTGAGCTTGTGGTGATGTCATCAGTACGCTTCTGTTCCAGTTGACCCAGATTTATGCTGCGTGCTCCCGTTCTCCCAGAGTCCACACTTTCCTGTGTTCTTCTCAAGAACAGACCTGGTGACGACACGAGTCCGTATTCGCGTTCTTATGTATTGCAAGACAGCCGGTGTTTTTCATAATCACAAATTTTCTTTCATTTTAACAAACTTTGCACCATTTTATGTTGTGTTATCACATCAGCCATCAAAACACCTTGCCTTCAAAGGGAGGTTGCTGTGGCTGCTTTGCAATGTTTACATTTTGACATGCTGCTATATCTGTTTTAATCGTGCTTTGGTGCTCGCTGTGTCCATAACAGGGTTTATACAGGAATGAGTAACTATATATATAAATAAATAAATAACACTGCTCCAGTTCTCTAGCATTTTCTCCGCCTTGAGCTTCTTTTCCAAACATACGGCTTTAAAATAAACCAAAAGCAATTCCTCGCAAATATATCACGATATAATATATCTGACGAAATTGTTTTTGAAAATGTATTTTTTTTTTTAAATAAAGCATTTTAAATGCCAAAATAATCACATTTAATGAATTTTAATGCCAATTAAGGCCTTAATTAAAAAAAAATTAGAATTGAATGACTTCTAATGATTTTTAATGACCAGTGGAAAAACCCTGCAGAAGATGAATTTGTTGGTTGAATGATGGAGAATCTGAACTTTCTAACGATGTCTAACATTTCTATATTGGGAAACATTTTGCTATTGGAGTTTTCATGTTTTCTGAGCTGCTAGTTGTAAACGCTTCAAAAATGGTCGCCGCAGACCGGCTGGATTTTAGGAGGTTAATTATTTTTATTAGTTTTCATCCAGACACCTGAGCTGCTTTGATGAGCTCCGACAGGTCAGTGTGAAAAGCTGTTCTTTACGTCCAGCCTGTTCCTCTGCTTGGTTTGGATCTGTTTAACAGCAAACTTACTGTTTGGTTGGTTCAATTTTTCTTTTTTTGTCACAAAGTAACAGATCTCAGCCCTATTTTATTTCATTACCTAAGAAATAAACTATTTTCATGTACGCCTTGCAATGCGATGCACCCCCGGTTGGGAATCGCTGCTCTAACAGGAGTAGTAAGGCAGCTTACATGTGCAGGGACTTCTGGGCCTTGGCCGCCTCGTCCTTGGAGCTGTAGCGCACCACGGCGTTCCCCTGAGTCAGGTTGAGGTGGAATGTGATCAAGGGGCCGTGCTGCATGCACAGAGTCCTCAGGGTGGAGCCATCAATCTGACATGGAAAAACATTTTCAGCTGCCGTGTTCAGGATCTAACACAGATGATGTGGGAGCACAGAAAGATACCTGTGGGGTGAGATTTCTCAGCACTAGCCAGCTGCTGGTCCTGTTGGGGCTGTCGGTGCTCCATGCGTTTCCCTCTGTAACACAGAGACGCAGATTCAGGTCATTCAGCCGAAAATAAGCTGGAGACATTTTATTAGTTCGGGAAGATTATGGTGGGTTCAAGTTCCGGGAATTATCAGCTCCAATTTCAAACTTTTATAGCTCTTGCAGGGAAGTTCTGGTTTCCATGTAAAGAATAAACTCTCTAGATTTCTCCTGTACATTCTGATTTACTGTAAGTGCACTACTGTGTATGTGGTATGCTTCATAAAACAGCTCTGAAAGTAGAGAACTATTCTCGCCCGGATTTTCTATGTGAAAATAATTAAGAATTGAACTCCAACAGGCAGGAATGAACTATTTAACACAGTAGAAAACTCTTATATCCTGGCAAGCAGCCTTCCAAATGTGTTTGGAATATCTGCAAAAATAGTATTTCTACAAGTGCTCATCTAGGACCAGGCCATGCCGCCGGTTTGGCATGCTTCAACATACAAACACAGTGAGACCTCTTTGGAAAAACAAACAAAAAAAACACTTAGAGGAATCAGACTAAAATATAAAAAATCTTTCAAACACACATTTTTATTGAAAAAAAAAATGAATATAAAAGCAAAAAAAACCCCAAGTCTTCAGTGAAAAATCTGACTACAAACACATGTAGTGAGTCATCTTTGAAATTTAGGTTCCACCCATATAAACCACATATAAACAGCTATTCATAGGGCGTATTTTCAAGCTTGCATGAATGATTGAAGACTAAAATTGACTTATCCAATACCAAAAACGGCCAGAAGATGGCATCTATATCTACCACTTGCACTTTCTTGATGTCCAGTTTTGCTGCTAAGCATTGCTGGAGCTCAGCGTTCAGAAGCAAGCACCTGGTGGACTAACCTGGGTGCCATTCCGAACTTAGTCCCGCCCACAACGTTTGAGGTCGGGAAGTTCGGTCTGGCATTGCTCAACAGTAGCGCGAGTATGCTCGCACAATATCTGGCGGGCCAACCAAATTGTCAGGGCGGGCTTTATACGATGATGGACAGATGATCAACAGTAACGCAATCAACCACGTCACCAAAGCGCGCTTGGGTGACAACAACAATGGCTGCCGCTGGAGAGTTGAGGTGAGTAGATTCTGCTATTAGGTCTGTTCTAGAAGATATCGACAGCAAATTAATTTTAAAAGAGGAACAGAGAAACGCGATCAAGGCTCATCTTCTTATTATAGGCGTGCAACTGCACGCTTTGATTTTTGTTGACAACAACTATGCGTCGCTTAACATACGTCACGCACTCCGTTGCTCTTATTGGTTGTAGGTCTATCCAATTGAGTGCAGAGGCATTTTTTTTCCTGGTTCGTTCGAAACATGCCCCATAATCACAGCTCTATGGAGCAGCATCAGACTCAGATTCTGACTAGAATTGAGTAGGACTACGTCAGGCTACTGGTGGACCTAACTTCCTGCACCAGCTGCCAGATGGCTGACCCCGTCTCCTCTCGCCATAACTGGCGTCATTTATCTTTCAGACCTTTATCTATGGTTGTGACATCTTCCCTAGAGTTTATGAACTGCATTGTGCCAACTCCGTGCCAATCCGTTCTCTCCATCGTCCTTCTCTCCAAACACAAAGTTTCATTTATTTATTTTTTGACTTTTTACACGTCTCTCCGTTGAATGGAGCCGTAAACGGCGCATGGTGACGTTCCGTGTAGAACTTCAGCACTGAATAACAATCTATCTGGCGACTCGAGCAAGAAACGAAAGGAGGAAATAAACACTTTCCCAAGACCCGCCTCCTTCTTCTTCTCATTGGCTAATGCTGTTAGTTTCAGAGCGCTCCAAACAAACGCAAGAGGGGAATTTGATTTTCTTTGTTTTATTTAATCAGGGTTCCTACAGCGTAAGGCAAGTTAAATTCAAGACTTTTTAAGACTTTTTAATGCCACTTGAAATAAAAATTTAAGAGCAAATTCACAAGAAACACCAGAAAAACCTTCAACGCTTTTATTGGTTCCGCTATCGGGACGGAACCAATAATTGCGAGCCTTTTTAAATTAAAAAGTAAATTTTAATGTTTTATTTAGATTACAAAAATAAATCATAATAGAAAATAATCCTATTTATGACGTTTTAAAAATTAAGACCTACGAAAGACTGATTTAAGACATTTTAATACCAATTAAGGCCTTAGTTTTATTTTGAAGAATTCAATGCCTTATAAGACTTTTTAAGATCCCGCGGGAACCCTGTTAATTACCGTCAATTTATTTTAAAGAGATAATTTTTTTACCCACAGGCAATCGCTACGAGCCGGAAGACATTCATCCCTGCATTGATGTCACTCGTGAGTTTTTACTGGTTGGAATAGGAGGGAGGAGAAGGAAGTCCAAAACTAAGAATGATTGACGCCGATTGGCTTTCTGCTGCTTCAGCCTGCCCACATCGTCCTGTAACTGGTCAATCAGGGTGTCAATCAAGCCAAGACTTCCTGTTTGAACGTGCGATAGCACCGAATGCGTTGTTTTTAGCATCTTGTAGCGGGGATTGAGTAAAAATATGGCATTGTGGTGCTGTTTTCCCTTAAAAATGAGAGTTACCCTGCAGTATTCTTGCCTTTGTGGATTTTATATGTTTGCAGCCCTCATTTTACTGAATTATCGTTTTTCTGGCTGTTTAGAGCAAACCGAGACCAAACTCAGTGGGAAATATTGGCGTTTTCCCTTTGGACCAAATAAAAGGTAATACATGAACTTTTTGAGTTTTGTGCATCTCTCACATTTCTCTCGATAAAACGAGGTTCAGCATGCTTGGTATCATTGGAAAGAGGAGAACGAGAGCTTTCTGTAGATCTATGCTATGTTGACACTGAAATACTCTTCTGTACATGCGCAGAACGTTCAAAAGGCTTGTTCACGGGCCGGTTGTTTGGAACTCAAGTAACTTTAAATGAATAGTACACCCAAAACATGATTAGCCTTCATTTTCTACTCACCCCCATGCTGAACAACACTCTGGAGTACTTTTTTGATATCTCAAATGCATCTGGAGATCTGGGAGGCTTCTTGCTGTCTGCTGACATTCAAATAATGGAGGTCTATGGCGCCCGAGGCAGAAAGGTCCATAAAAGTCCACAAAAAACGTGTCAATATTCCTCCATACTGCTCGTCCAATGTATTCCAAGTGTCCTGAGTGGGTAGCGTCCATAATTTACTCGAAACGAAGTCATTTAGAATGTTTTTAGAGCATAAACAGTAGTGTATAGGATTTCCTGAAAGCGCGTTCACGACGCTACGGAAACCGCGGCAGACCAAACCAGACGAAAGTGCGCATTCAGCTCGGCAAAGAACTCATGCTCTTCCTCAACACTGAAGTCCTCAGACATTTTTCTTTCGTTGTTTCTTTCTTTGCACAGGTAAACAGCACATTTCTTCTTCTACGCTTGCATTATTGGCAGAGCAGACGCTGAATGCGCACTTTCATCTGGTTTGGTCTGCCGCAGTTTCCGTAGGCTCGTGAACTCGCAGGCGCGCGCTTTCAGGAAATCCTATACACTACTGTTTATGCTCTAAAAACATTCTAAATGACTTCGTTTTGAGTAAATTATGGACGCTACCCACTCAGGACACTTGGAATACATTGGACGAGCAGTATGGAGGAATATTGACACGTTTTTTGTGGACTTTTATGGACCTTTCTGCCTCGGGCGCCATAGACCTCCATTATTTGAATGTCAGCAGACAGCAAGAAGCCTCCCAGATCTCCAGATGCATTTGAGATATCGAAAAAGTACTCCAGAGTGTTGTTCAGCATGGGGGTGAGTAGAAAATGAAGGCTAATCATGTTTTGGGTGTACTATTCCTTTAAGAGGTTAAATGACTTTTAGCATGAGGTGAAGTTAACAGAGGAAACTTGGGCTCACAGAAACCGCCACGCTTCAGTACCTAGCTCCTGTCTGCACTATAAGCACACATGTTTTCCTCTTTCATGTCAAGCTGAGGTCACGCACACACACAGCTGGTAAACCCCAAACTGTCAGTTTAACAGGGTGTGTTTTGGTGACATTTCCAACTCAAGTGATGCGAGAATCAAACTGAACACAGTCACCACCTCTGCAGTGCAACATGTGTTGGATGGGTGTGGTACAGATCAACCAGAGCGCAACACATGCAGCTATCTGTGCTGACGGGCTGGAAGGAAATCTGTCAAAGCTCAGATGAGGTCTGTTCAAACTTAAAAAGGAAAAAAAAAAAACTTGTGTTCAATTGATTCTGCTGTTAAAACAAACTTAATAGGGCAGACTATTTTATATATACATAAAAAAAAAATCTACATTTCCTCCCTAGAAATGTAAAATTTGGGAAAATAGAAACATTTTGACTGAAAAGACCAAAATCTGATCAGTTTGTGGAATTTTTCTGTCCTGGATAGTTTAACGGGGGAGAAAAAAAAAAAAAAAAAAAAAAAAAAAAAAAAACAGTTAATAAGTGGAGGCTACAGAGCAAGAATACATATTAAAGTAACGTCATCAATTTATTTTAGCTTTTAAACAGTTAAAACTAGGGATGCACGATATAATCGGCCCCCTATCGGTATCGGCTTTAAAACTGAATATCGGACATCGGCCACCCCACCGATATTTAACCCGATATTTGATCAGCTCCTGAGTTTCTAAAGTCTATATATATATATATATATTAATAATATATATATACTTCTTCTTCTTCCTCAAAAACTTATTTTTTACAGACTTAAAAACTTCTAAAGACTAGGGAAAAAATATTGATCCATTAAAATATCCCAATATCTTCATATGCTGATATATTGCTATTTAAAAACACCATATCAATGTCTTTTACTAATGAAATATTGCTATATGTCATCGTTATGCTACGAAATCCCCCGAAAATTCACAAAATTTGTGCATTGTGATTTCTGTCTACTTTTAAGGCTAGGCTTAAAACTTTCCTTTTTGATAAAGCTTCTAGTTAGAGTGGCTCAGGTTATCCTGAGCTATCTCTATAGTTCTGCTGCTATAGGCTTAGACTGCTGGAGGACATAGGGACCCCTTTTTCATCATTCTGCTTCATTCTCTCTCTGTTCTCCCACTCTGCAGAATCTGTTAGTTCAATCTCTAACGTTCTGCTCTCTCTGCTTTTTCTCATAGTAGCTTCATCTGGTCTGTTCCTGTTTGGCTGTGACTCCATCCTGCAGAGAAATATCAGCTGTGCTGCTGCCATCAACACCTTTGTTTCTAGATGTTGGAGCTTGTCCTGTTTTTCAGTGTAGTCCTGTTTCTCTGTGTTTCCTGGATGGGGCCGCCTTTTACAGTTGCTTTTTGTAAAACTTTTTGTAGAAATTATGTTCAGCTGTACCTTACATCTGATTACAGTTTATTTTATTTAGCACTTGCTTATATTTTGTGGTTATATTATATCACTTCATTAGGCATATTTTAATGTCCTGTGTTTTTTCTATGTCTGCTTCTGTCTCCTTGAACCCCAGTGGGCCTTAGCAGATGGCCTCTCACACTGAGCCTGGTTCTGCTGGAGGTTTCTTCCTGTTCAAAGGGAGTTTTTCCTCTCCACTGTCGCTACAAGCATGCCTAGTGTGAGGGATTGCTGAAGAGTCAATGAGTCGATGCAATCAGCTGGTTTTCCTTAGATAGAAAACTTTGAATCAATCTGACTGGATGATCTGGTGAACTGGAAAGTGACCTGAGATGACATGATGTGAATTGGAGCTATAGAAATAAACTGAATAATATTTATTAGGAAAGATATAATCCGATACAAAGATAAAATCCGATTATCTTTTAGTTAACTTTGTAAACTAACTTTAACCATTTCCAATAAAAAGTTCTTACTTCTGGCATCAAAGCAACTTTAAAGGTGTAACAGCCGCCTAAAAAGCTGGAGTGAGAAGTTTAGTGTCCTAATGCGACTAAAACTCAGAGCCTTTACGATTTGAAAATTGCGTTTTGCTAAATTGCAATTATATTGCAAATGCAATTAATTGCCCCGCCGTAGGGAGTGGCGAGCAGACCCACTCGTCAAGGCGGATGTAAGCAGATTTTGAGATAAAAAATGCCACTTCACTAATATTAGGTGAATCATAAAACCAATAATCAACCGCAGGGTTTGATTTGATCTAAACGAGCCTCTTCCTTCTTTAACAGAAGAGACTTGGTTAGTAGAAGCAAAGTAAGGAGGGGCCTGGCTTCCCAAACAGGAGCTGTCTGGTTCTGAAAGGGCTAGAAAAAGAGCAGGTTGTAGCTGCCTGGGATCTAACGGCGTTTGGTTGGATTACAGCAGGAGAAAGCTAAAAAAGAAGGAAGACCTCAGCCAACAAGGTGCAGAAACATTTCCGGGTTGCAGTCGTCTTAGTTTCACGGAGCCGCTCTGTGCTCACCTGAGGAGTAGGCGGCGCTCCAGCCTTGAGCCAGCCCCAAAGAGTTCCCGCCCCAGGTGGAGGAGGGTTTGGTGCTGGTGAGACCGGGCGGCGGCCGGGACGGGGCGGCGGTGCTGCGCGGCCCCTGAGGAACTTTCCACAACTCATGGGACAGAGAAGCTTGGTTCTGAGCGATGGGCCCCGGGGACCAGGTGGACTTCATTTCAGTCAGTTTCCCTTCAGAGAAAAGAAGTTCATTTGTTAGGAAATCTGGAGGAAGTCAGATTAGAGACAAGAAAACAAAAAGGGGTTAGCAACTAAATACATTCTAATGAACTATTGGAAAAATAATGTCTGTTCTGTAAAATTTAGGAGAACATTATAACTATAAATGTGGCTTTTTTTTTAACTCATGCATTGGGCAAACCCCAATAACATGCATGTGCTGTTCCACTGAAAATCATTGAAACTTCTCTGATTATCTTGCCTTTTTAAAGCTCTGATCTCATACAGCACAATGGTTTCACATTTAGTACAAACGAAAGTGAGGAGAAGAGCCCACAGAGTGTTTTTTACGCTGCAGCAGGGTGTGGCACTGATTCAGGGAGCAGATAGGTGAGGCTCGCTGCGCTGTGGTTTTTATTCTCTAGCAAAGATTGTTTCCAATCACAGCAAGATTTCTAAACCAAACTGTTAAAGCCTGAAAAGACCGGCTGTGTAGAACTTTTTAATCTGAGATCTGATTTTTTTCCATGTCACACTGACTATAGAGAGGCTCTGACTGGGCAGGGTTAGCAGATCTGTGCAGATTTGCAGATTAAAACAATTTCCCACATTTGACTTGGACAGATTATGAAAAGTTATTAAATTGAATAAAAAAAAAGCGGCTCATTCTATAAAACAAAGCCTCACTTAACTAGTCTGTGCAGCATCTTAGACGAGAACAGATAGAAAACGTTCATCTATTAAAAACATAATGAGATCTACGTCTGAAGAAAAGAAAAATGCAGCAATAAAACGCAGTGGGACGGTTTCTATGGCGACTGAGGCAGAGAGGTGATTCTCAGAGATCTGGGAGGTTTTTCCTTATTTTTTCCATAAAGAGGTGAGAGGGATACGCTGCCCTTATCTACTCCGTCTATCCCTCCTTATTTTGGTTTCTGTGAGGCTCAAAGAGGATCACTACTTTATCCATTTTCAGTTTTCCTGAACAATCATGGGGAAAGTTTTCTATTTTAATGTTTCATTTGTTGTTTTCGCACCAGTCTGTCCTGCAGGGGGGGATTTACCATTAGGCAATACTCAGCTGTTGCCTAGGGCCCCAAGTTCCTGGGGGCCCCATAAACCTCTGTTTACATGTGTGGTTAATACAACTATTCCTTATTAGTGCACATTAATAATGTTTTTGATAAAAATCCTTTCACTAAAATGCCATCAGAACGCTGATAATTGTGTCTTAGGGCCCCAACCCCCCCAATGTCCACCATATTGGATCAGTCCATTTGCTGCACATGTTCAGAAAGGTCCAAACAGACAGCAGCAAACCATTTGAAAACAAACGATGCAAAGAGCAGTGTTGCCAACTTAGCGCTTTAGTCGCTATATTTAGCCACTTTTCAGACCCCTCTAGCACTTTGATTTCTAAAAAGCTCCTAGCGCCAAATCTAGAGACTTTTTTCTGCTACTGGAGACTTTGGAGACAACATCTAAAAGCAGCGAACTCTGCTCTCCAGAGCGAGTAGATTGGTAACCCCGCCTCCTGCTCTCCTCTATCTTGTCTGCTGTCATGATTCATGCAGCTATTATTTCATCCAAATGAAAAATGGAGAACAGATAAGCAGATCATGGCTTGTCTACAGTGAAAAGAAGGACTGGGTTATTTACTTGCTTTTGGAAACACAGGAAGGAGCAATCAGCTAAGTGAGCTTAGTGCTTGGAAAAAATCTTTCATTCCTTTAGAGACAGCATGAAAAGTCAGCTGAGTACAAAACATAGAGAGGAAAACAAGAAGAAAATGGACAAGAAGAGAGGGACACAACCTAGAACAGATAATGGATGTCTATTCTATTAACATTTCTCTATCTGGAGAATGGGGCTGTTTTATATGTTATCTTTTCAATTCAGAGGGCCACCTTCCTGTCTTTGCCTAGGGCCCCAACTTTCCTAAATCCGCCCCTGCTGTCCTGCTTACTATATAAGCGAAGTAAAACTTTAAACTGACTCTTTCCGTGTGATTAACATATTTTATTTTGTATTTTCCTCCACAGCGGACGTGTTTTACTTTGTAACCGCGTCTCTCTTCCTGTCAGACCCAGTAAATTGCTGCTGAATTGCTGCGTAGTCCGACTAAAACAGACCCGGGCTCTATCTCAGTGGGAGCTTCGCTGCCCCCTGCAGGAAGTCATCCCTATTGACGTTCAATAAATGCTAAAACGCCACAACCTCTAAGATACAATTTTCTGTTGGATCAGACGCAAAATCTGATTGTGTTCTGGTCTTTATAGGTAAGAGGAAAACACATGTTAGGGGTTTTTAAAAGGCTTAGAGGAAAGGAGACTAATACTGGATGAGGACCTGTGATGCCTCCTTCACAGGACAACAGACTGATAGAGCTAGATTGGCCATTTGGCAGTGGAGAAGCTGTGGAGGAGGCTGCATTGTAGTGGAGATCACAGCGTTGTGAGCAAACAACAAGAGAAAATCATTGGGATGCATGAAGATAGGAAGGATGTTGAAACCTGGAGTGTAATGAAAGCAAATCAGAATAAAGCGGCCACTGCGCAGCCATACTGCAGCTTCTGAGCCAACTATCTGCAGCTTTGCTCTGTACCTCCGTTACGGTCCCGCAGCAGGTAGCGGTTGACGTCGTGGATGTTGGTGTTGATGGTGGGACCGCTGGGGACGCTGCCGGGGGTCATGTTGGGGTCATTCTCAGGGTCAATGTTCTGAAGGCCCTTCCATGGGACTCCTGGGCAGAACTCTGAGGAAACAGCAAAGAATGATTATAAAGAATTGAGACGTCAGAACAAAAACGATGTTCATAATGACTGCAGACCCAGACAGCTTCCAGGAAAGGACATAACGTATAAAGTTATCTGGAATGAGCTGATTTTAAGCTTTAAATGCAGAATTTTCTCTCTTCAGTGCTGCACATCTAAATGCTACCAAGCTCTGCTTAAAAACGACACCATTCAACGTGTTCAGTCATCTGAATCATGGCAACTGTAAACAGGCGGAAATCGAAGGCAAACACGCTTTTACTCCGTTTGTTTTCTCCAACAGTCTGTCGACTCACAACAGGGCAACCAGTATTTGGAGCGTTGAGGCTTTAACCCCTTCACCCCGGCGGGCCGGAACAGAACCCAACTGACACCTGCTCATGTTTATCTATTTATAGAAATGGCCAAAACACAGTCACATGGTGTTTCATCCACACACCTTTCAAATAGGGCTTTAAAATTTCTAAAACATGTTTCATAATAATTTTTTTTACAAATACTTTATGTTTTATAGCTGTGTAATCAATAAAATTAGATTAAAAATTCCATCTGACGTGTGTGACTCTGTGGGAGTAATGCAACAACAGGTAGTCGTTTTGGCCCCGCCCCCTAATGGCCGCCATCATCGGAAACTAGAGGCTCAGACCTTTCCAAGGAGGGGTCGGAGGTCATTGTGCGACCATTTCAGGTGATGTAACCTGCACGCTAATCTTGCTCTGTTATTATTATTTTCTTTTCAGTTTGGTGATATTATGGGTTAATTTCAATAAAAAGACGGCTAAGCTCTAGTTGCGTGTATTTGCTCCTCACCTGGAGGCCAGTTGATATTGGCCCCATTTGAGATCTTTTCATTTGGGCTCTTTCCTTGGCCCCAGCTGTCGGGGGGCACCAGGGGACTGCTGGGGGACTCTGAGTTGGAGATTAGATTGTAAGGGCTGTACGAGTCCTCCATCTGGGGGGGCTTCCCAGGCGGTCCGATGGTGGAGGCAGCAGACATGGCACCTTGATGGATGGAGAGGTGATTCAGTGAAAAGATTCAGAAGCTTTTATAACCGTTATTAAAGAAAATATCAGCTTCACATTCGGATTTTAAATTAAACTTCCAAAACTGAGAGAGATAACAAGTAATTTTACCTGCTTCAAGTCACTGATCTCCTGCAGTATAACAAGGTACACATACTTTTCCCAGCATGTTTTATAATAGTGTAACATTGCACTTCCTTTGAAAGTACAAAATACCCAAGTTCCTGGGGGCCCCATAAAACTCTGCTTACATGTATGGTTAATGCAACTATTCCTTATTTGTGCTCATTAATTATGTTTTTGATAAAAATCCTTTTGGTAAAATGCCATCCGAACACTGATAATATTGTGTCTTTAAGCAACTGAAGCTGCGTCTGAAGGCGCTTCAGAAGCAGCAGCTGCTGGAGTTGGAAAAATGTAACTTTAGCTGCTGGAAGTGCCTCATCAACCAATCAGAGAAGCTGATCTGGGAGCTGGCAGGGAGTCAGACACAGCACTGCTGATGCAGAGCGCTACTTAAAATGTAGAAACCTGCCGGCTGAATATGTTGGCTTTTATTATCCTGCTGCCTGCAGTTTGGATTACGTACGAGGAAAACGCCTTCCATCCGCCGTGAACAGTAGGGGAAAACCCCGAAAAAGGCAACCGGGCCTGAGGCAGCTGCTGCTGGGGTGTCACAGCGCACCGCTAATATGTGGGGGTCTGAGCGGCTCAGACAGAAATAATCTTTGAAGGCAGGATGGTAATCTGGATGAACTGACTGCACAGAGGAAGTTTTCAGGAAGACTTTCTCACTTAAAAACATATTTTAACTACTTTATTCCCACTGATCACAGCAAATATAGCTGCCATTGTTCCAGGCAGAGAAAGGATAGAGTAGCTCCGCCCACCGTGCGTCAAACCCATGCACAGCATATTATTTGATAAAACCACACCGCTCCAACAGTAACTCTGCATTTATTGTCTTCTGGGTCGTTTTGTCTGGAGATGCATTGCGCAGCTGATGACGAATTCCCGAAGCCGTATAGCTGAGAGTAAGATAAATGATGCTAAGTACTGGAGGATAACCTATAAGACGCTGCATAAGCCTTTACTGGGGAGGAGAATAAGTGAACCCCAGAGCTGCAATAAAAAAACGACCAATCAAAGTCAAAAGCTACATCAGATCAAATCCCTGAGGCAGGAATTTAAAATAAACTGTCCTAATTTTAACCCTGACATTTAAATCTATTCTGCACCCTGTCGGTCTCTGCTGTACGCAAACAGAGCAACATGCGCGTCTTATTTATTTTAACGTACCATGCTTATTATTAAAGTTATTCTCCAGATTTGAAGAGTTGCCAGAGAGGTTGTCCATGGAGTTGGTGTGTGTCCACTGGGACAAGCGAGACTGGGGCTGGGGGGGCTCCTTCAGGGACAAGCCTCCAACGTCCATGCCGTTTACATTCATGTTTGGATTCAGTCCAGCTGCAGAGGAAACACAAACAACCTTCGATTATAGCAATGT